GTGATGGTCACCAACATGTGGACCCAACCCTGACAGCCTGAATCCTGTTCCATCTCATGTCTCTGGCCACAGCAAAAAACCATGTTGATACCTTACAGACTGAAACAGTATCAGCATAATTATGTTATCACGCAACCATAATTACAGTTCTTGCAATTTCTTGTCACATGGCACTTAATCACATTGTGGTTTCGTGTTTGAAGTTACTAGTTGATGCACTGAGTAAATGTTTCCTTCTGCAGTGCCTCATCAATATTGCCAGAGGGCAGTGTGGGAAAAACGGCTCAGCTGCATGATTTAACATGCCAAGCAAAGCTGTTTTTGTTATGTAATATATGAAACGATACGGTTAAAAATGACCCCAAAAATCCATAATGTACCATCCAAAAAATATTTTCAGCACCCCTCTCCCTGCCCCCTGCCTTTTTTCCCTCTCTCACTCACACAAACTTCTTCCACCCCCATCTGGAATGCCTGCATGTCTCAACTGCACAAGGAAGCCCTCTATGCACATCCCATCAACACAAACAAAAAGAGTCACACATCAAACCCTCCTCCACCACAAAGACACATGAAAAGAAAGCATGGACACAGAACCATCTTTCCAAATATAGGTGACATGAAAGAAAGAAGCCAGCACAGCCATCAATATCAGTCAGCCTTGAGATTTAGGCCTCTCACATCACATGCAGACATTCCTTCATCCCTCCCGACCCTCCCTCCGTACCCTCCTCCTCCTCCACCACAAACCTACAACTACTTTATTAATGCAGCATGCAACCTGTGCACACACAACATTTTGTTACAATTATTTCTTTAGGTCACCAATGATGCAGTTTAACACATTTGAAACCTAAAAGTGGTATGAATATAATGCTTGGAAGTATTTCGATTTTTTCCTGCATCAAACATTTTTGTCAGTCGAACGCCTTGGACCTAAACCATTTATTTGATGTATTCCCCTTAAGATTTGAAGTTAATATTCTAATAATTTACAGTTTTTCTCAATCTATTTTTCTCAGTCTCCAAACTCAGATCACTGTTCTCAAAACAGTTAACACAGTGATCTGAATACTTTATAATTGTCCAGAGCAGATTGTATGTTTTCATTCATTTTATACAAATTACAAATCATGCAAATAATTTTCTCAAAACAATGTGCACAAATCTCTCAAATGTTTTCACAATAGTTAATACAACCAACCAATACTTTAAAATATCTGAAAAATGTTTTACACAAATCACAAACATTTATGTACTATTTGTCCAAACACAACAAACAAAACTCTGTAATTTGTCATTCGATCGAACATATTTTCGATTGGCCCTAAACTGATAACTATTCGGTTAATCATACACTCAACACAGAAAATGCAGTTTTCCTAATCGTTTACACATTTATCACAATTGCTTTAGAGTAATAATAAAAGGGAAAGTATACAAAGAGCAAGAATGAATATGCAAAATAATAATAATATCAATAAAATATAAATCAGGGTATATACAGGAATCATGGAGTTAAATTTAATACCTTTTAAGACCTTTTTTAAGACTCTTTCCATACATTTTAAGACCTCATCGCCAGTCCAAGTTTTAACCGGTTACATCGGCAACACTTTAACCTACATTTACTATATATTGATTGTAAGATAGCACAACTAAACAGACTAACTTTGTGATAACTCCTTATCAATACAACATAATTCAGAAGGGGGGGGACGAACGAAGCACAAGAGAATTCATTGAGTGACTAACCAATGCAACCCAAGAAACAAGAATTAGACGAATAAACAAAACAACAGACAAAACTTATTGAGGAGGGAAAATAAAACTCTCAGAGCTAACGGGGCAATGAGTTCACACAGTATATTCAAAAGACGTATTTGTAACATCAACTCTTATAACTGTCTGCAAACAGTTTTGTGGAACACTTCTCATGACAAACACCTGACTGGTCAGACAGTTTACCTGTGATTACGGAGTGCTTGATTTGATGCAGACTTGACAGAGTGTCAGTAATACTGCACCTGATCATGTCTGAATGATCATGGAAGGTAAAATAATGATCACAACTATTACATCATTTTAATTAAGTATCCCAAGCCCATGCCAGTAAAAAAAAATTAAAATAAATAAAATAAAAATACAGCCCTAAATAGCGCAATTACCATGTCCCAAATATAAAAATGTAATTTCCATCCCTAAAATACATATTTTACAGTCACTGTTATGCACATTTATCATAAACACAGCTCAAATGCTACCTACTAGTGTGGCCCAAAACATTTAGCACAGTTTTATTACAGGTAGAATGCAAAATGTTTCAGTACAAGCATTTCAACCAAATATAATTTATGCAATATTTCAAACCTTTAACCCACTGGGGAAAATCAACCCATGGCAACAGTTTAAAAGCAGCCCAATTTCGTGGAAAAAAACAACAACAACCCTGCATCCAACTCGAGCTGCAGAAGTCAGATTTGACTGATCACGGGTCAAAAGTAAGGAGAGATAACGTACAAGATGTTGGAGGATTTGCTCCTCAATAGATCCCGAGCTCATTGACAAATATATTTTATCGTAAGATGTGCTCCCTTTACACAGTGCGCGCGCGATCGCGAAATCGAAAGTGAAAGTGAACTGCAACTCCTAGCGCTCATTCAAAAGGGGTTTAAATATGCCACATATTGATAGCGGCGCCCTGATGCGCGAAAATAATATACTATATTAGAATGTTTGCGGGAGCGCACACAAAAATCGCAGGAGCGGATGGGAGCATGCGATAATGGTCAGAAATTCAGCGAGAGCGGGATTAACAAGCCCCGCGCTATCACGCAGCGGCGCAGTCAGTCAGTGAGTGCCGTAACAGATGACGTCAAATCTTGCGGGATTCCATAAATAAACTACACAGAACCCCACTATTCGACAAATATACATAATGAAAAGATTATACAAAATTTAATTTCTTGGAAAAATGGCATTTAAGACTTTTTAATACTTATTAAGGGCCTTAATTTTCTCTAAATTGATTCATCAACTTTTAATACTTTTTAAAGGGGTCATATGATGCGATTTCAAGTTTTCCTTTCTCTTTGGAGTGTTACGAGCTCTTGGTGCATAAAGAAGATCTGTAAAGTTGCAAAGACTAAAGTCTCAAATCCAAAGAGATATTCTTTATAAAAGGGGCGTTACTATGTCAAAACATAGTATACATAGATTTTTAGTCCTCTTGGGACAACTTATGTTATTTACTGTAAATATCCAAACATTTTTTCAGAATTTAAGTTTGAGGTCATTCAGGTGGACAATCAAGATTATTTTGAATGGAACAGCAGCATTGTTGACATGGTGGTCCAGAACAACACCACCAGCCACAAAGGAAGAGGCCTGTGGAGATGTTGAGACAGGAGCTTTTCAAGCATGGATTCAACCTTCTTACATTTTTTCTCCTATGATGCAAGCGCAGCAAATATGTAGTGTAGATAAAATGCAATGTAATTCTCTTCCAGATATATCCACCACTGTGCTGTAAAAGACTGATCTGTAGTTGTCAGAAAAGTTTGTTTGCAGTTCTTGCTGCTAAAGGTGGCACAAACAGATTTTAAGTTTAAAGTTTTTTCTCATGGGTGATAGCAGGTGTTGGATAACAATTTTTATTTCGTTTAGATATACACAATATATATAAAGCTAAAAACTCCCTGTTAAAGAATTGCAATAAACATGTATTTTCATTAGCATATTTGTGCATCTACAACTGAATGTGTTTTATAATCAGTAGAGAACACACCTATAGATTTGATGTTAATATTTACATTTAGTAATTGCATTACTAGAAAAAATTGCAGTGCTTCATTTTGCAGTAAAGTTGAACTGTTTGGTTAAGATAATTTTGTGTTTGGATGGCTGTGTTAAATGTTTTGAGAACAAGTACATTGCATTGAAGAAAAGTGTCAAATCGATTGAGAAAAACTGTAACAATGCATTTGCATGCTAAAGGTTCTCTGATGTCAGACAATGATCACATGGCATGCATGCAAACAGAATATTTCATCTTTTTTTAGAGTGTTATATTTTGATAGTTTTTATTTTACAGTTATTTATTTACATTTTGATACATTAATTATTAGCTTCTCATCAACTCATAAACCCTTTCTCTTCTGTTTAAAGAAATGTAATGTGTTCAGTACAAATTAAGCTCTATAAACAGCATCTATGACAATGTTGATTACCACAGTTTACCTTTTGACTTGTCAAAGGTAAGAGCAAAAATGGTATTTACAGTAAGTAACGCCACTTACAATGAAAGTAATGCCAGACCGTTAAGATACACACTAAAATATACTTAAAAATACATTAAACAAAGTACGGAGTGTTTTGAAGTACAGCCAAAAGACAAACACATTTCGACATAAGACTAGTGGAAATCAAGTTGCTTACTGACCTTGTAAAGTTTGATTATGAGTAAAGTTATATCCAATAGACAATGATCAAAATACCAGAAAAGCACTATTTAAATAGAGTATAAACAAGTGTCTTCACTTCAAAAAGGATGATTTAGACAATGCTACAGCTTAAATTATAAACATTATATAATTATATTTCCTAAATGCTCTTTAACAAAAATAAAAGCTTCACATTTTGGCTTTTAAACCCTGCGTAATGCTTATTTCCAATAGAGGTGTGTTACTGTAACCAATATTTTTGATTTGAACAAAAACTTAGTGATGAATCAAAATGATTTTCTTTGGTACTGAACATTATTCCACATATTCTGTTGATAGAGTTTCACTTTTACCGATATATTAATGAAAACCTCCATGCAGCTAAACAGGAAATAGGATACTCTATTGTGTATCATTGTGCGCCAGTGAAAAGGCTAGTCTACACTTACATAAAAGTTAAACATCTACCATTTTAAAAACACTGTCTGACCATTTACCTGTGCATGTTTCCATTGGTAGTGAAAGTCTGATTACATATCACACACTTGTGTGGCCTCTCTCCACTGTGAACCAGCATGTGGCGGTCCAGAGAACTGGCTGAGCTCAAAGCCTTCCCACAGATACTGCAGGAGTGGTCAGTTCCCCCACTATCTGTGTTATGCTGGAGGAAAAAACGAGGCACAGACGTGAACATACTGATATACAGTCTATATAACATGTTCAGTTTCAGTAAAATTCTGATTTTAAGACAAACTGTTGTGGTTCAGTAAACAGGTGTACATGTAGGGATGTTCTGGTGTGTTTGTGTAAGAGAGAGTGTGCACCTGTCTGATATGCATGGTGAGCTGGTGCTGTGTCATGCAGTTTTTGTTACACAGGGGGCAACTGAAGCTTGAGCGTTCGTCTTTGACTTCCTGTAGCAGACAAAAAGACAAAAAACATTTTAGTTACAATGTACTAAATTACATACAGTTATTTAGTATATAGTTTATATAGTTTTATTAGGGATGCACCGATGTATCGGGCAATTTTTGATTATTTTAAGGTCATCAGCATATCGGAAATAGCATGAAAAGGGTCGATACCGATGGTTTATTAATTAACTGCATGGAGACACAAGGTCACATCACGCACCTGCAGCGTTTCTGTGAACGGAGAAAACAGAATAAAACTATATAGGCTACATAAAAAGGAATATATAGGCCTATACACAAAATATATTTCACTTAAATCATTAACAGATTAACAAAACGAAATACATTTTTTTTGCTGAGTTTCGGAGAGTAATTGTAACGTGCTCCGAATTTCACGGAAAAAAACGAGACGGCAGAAAGCAGTTTTCTTTATTTTACAAAAGCTTTACATTTTTTAATGATGTTTTGCTTCTATCTGTATGACAAACCAGCGTTGGTATGACCATAAATTACGGAGTAACAGTTGGGAAAACAATGCAGTGATCGCGTCGGTGCCTCACACGCACATACAACACATTTTTGCTAATTTGACATTTGCTAATTTGACATACAGTTAAAGAAATATAAAAAGTTACACTGCTCAATTTAAATAGTCTGTAGTACAGTCTGTGCCGTTCAGTGTGACCAGCGCCTCACTGCTAATATAGCCTATATGTGAAGGATGTTTTACGTCGTTAATGCGAGTGAAGAACAAAGCCTATAGTTTACATAATAAATAATAGGTTAGCATCCAGATACTTCGCGAATACTGAAACATTTGGATTCATGCAGAATGAGGGAGGTAGGCTTCAGTTTCGTTTTTAAATTAATTCGTTTCGGCTTGACCCTTATATTTAGCCTAAATACAACTTTAGAGGATTTGTTGTGGAGAGAAGATAATTAAAATGGTCTAATTGTGTTTGTAATTATGCTTTTATTTAGAGATGCACCGATCGATCGGCCAGGGATCGGAATCGGCTGATTTTCCTCATGAT